ATAATGAATATTTTTGTAACTTAATATTTGTGTAAATTATATTTTTGAATAAAAAATAGAGTCAAAATGGATAAAAATAAAATAATGAATAATTTTATTTTTAATTAGAGGATGAATTACATCTAATAAAATAAATACATCCTAACTAAGTTGACACTTACTCACTTATCTATCATTTGCATTACTCTACCTTTAAAACTTATATGCTTAATACATACATTATTTATAGTAACTAAATTTTTAAATTTTCAAATTCCGACATTGGAAGACTTATTTCAAAGTTTTAAATTTAATGGTCTAAAAATATAACTTTTTTTTCAAAGGAATGGTGGGCAGGCTATGTGGGCGAGTTGGGCTTGGCGGGCGAGCTTGACGGGTGGGCTCTTGGGCCAGGCTTCGGGCCAGGTAATGAGTTTGGGGGCAAATCCAAGTCCTTCTTTTAAGGATATTGGGCTCGGGCTCGAGTGGGCAAACTATTGAACCTATCGGATTTCGGGCCTATTTTTTTCGAGCGAGGTAATGGGACCCGTGGGTAATCCGGCCCATGGACACCCCCTACCTAGAACTAACACCCATTTGTGGTTACTTCATCATATTCCTTCAATTGATCATATTTGAACATTTTACTCACTATAGGGGAAGATATATCACTCTCAAAGTTTTTCCACCATAAGACAAAAATCTTCATCGTTCCTCAATTTCCTAACTGATTCTTTCCAATAACTTAATATAATATTTTATCTACTAAGCATTGATTGTCCTAAGGATGCCCTATTTTACCTTTTCTACATACGACAGATGAAATCACCACCCTTCATTGTTTTCCAAAAATTTAGTCAATCCTAAGAATCTTGTAATCATAAAAAATTCAACCTTACATGAAACAATAGGTCATCCCTCACTCACCTCAACATACTTGGAGGTTTTCAATACAATAAAGGTCACAATTACCAATCATAGAATAATCACAAAAATAACATTTTATATCATATTCCATTAAGAAACTGAATCTAATCTCATACCCTTTCATCATAAATACCAATAATGTCAATGCTAACCCAAAACTTATGCCTCATAAACAATGCCCAGTACCTTAAAGAACCAAGCCTAACATCTTTTACTAACCAAATAAAATGCCATTTGTTTTCTAAAGTAGTCCATAACGGCATGGTAGATAGCTAGCATATCCATCCCAAAAAGTACATCAATTATTCTAAGCTAGCTAAAACTCATGAATTCAAATAAATAAACAATCCATAACCTAACTAAGCCTCTACTTACACTTATCTTATGAGCACATAGTTCTAAGAAAATTCAAGCATATGGTTTCTTCCATCTCATACTTCTTACTCCCATTGGCTAACCCAAAACCTACAGCTCTCATGTAAGACTTAGTTCCTAAACTCTGATACCAACTTTGTAACGCTTCAGTGTCACAATTAACACATTAACTATCTATACATCATCCAACCATGGCAACATACTAAATGAATCATTAAAAGAATAAAATCATTTCTCATCTAATAGATAATTAAACAAATCCCAAATCAAACATAATAACTCCTTAAAGTTACATCCAAAAGTGAAAATAATAATCCCTCAACTAACTAATAAAAGAATATCTTGGAACATCCATAATTCAAAACTATAAACTAAATAAGCATCTCTAAGCCTCCAAATCTGGATCCACATCTTGATCTACATTTGCATCCCATTCTATTTGCTTACCTACCTCGAGATCCTCCTTAATATCGAAATTTGAAAAATGTTATATCATAGGATGAGCAACCTTCTCAAATCCAAACAATGTTTCAAAACGATAAAACAGGTAAGTCTCAATTTATAAAATAACATACATAATTTTAAAATAAAACAGTGTTAATTGACNATCTTCCCAAATCCAAACAATGTTTCAAAACGATAAAACAGGTCAGTCTCAATTTATAAAATAACATACATAATTTTAAAATAAAACAGTGTTAATTGACGATCATAAGTTTACGCAATATAATCATTAAACTTTGAATCAACAAGAATCATTCATAAAATCAGATTNACGATCATAAGTTTACGCAATATAATCATTAAACTTTGAATCAACAAGAATCATTCATAAAATCAGATTCCATAACAGAATATCTCATGTACATGGGTTGAATAAACAAGAATTTACAATAGAAATATATTTGGCCCACAAAAATCTACCTTCTCAAACATAACACACCGCAGGACAACAAACTTTAGGAAGGATATATACTAACGCATCAGCAGTGACAAATCCTTCCTAAGATTATGGTGTTCCAACCCTCAGCCTCAATCCCCCGTGAACTAATAGTGGTTTGATCCTTGCAAGGTACCAACCCCACTACAAGTGATAGGAAACCTTTGAACCCCTCAAGGTAAGAAACACGTCTAAACACTTTGAGATATAGGCCCGCATGTAACCCTCATTCATCAATACCATCACAAAAGATATACTTTCAAAAATAATTCATGTTTTTCAATATTCAAAATCCCACAATTCTCAAAGAACAATAATAATTCAATATAAATATGCAAAAGATCGTAAAAGAAAGTATTCAAATTGACAACAATCAAGAATCTAGAGTTTTTATCAAGAACATGCGACTTTCGATGTAAAACACATAATTATTTCAAGAAATGAATTATATTATCAAACAAGTGTAAAACAATTGTAGGTCTATTATATATAATTGAATAGGAATCAAAACATACATATAGGTAACCATAACCCTCAATTAATGAATTTAAGAAAGAACCCCCACCTTAATCCATAGATAATTGATCCTAACACTTTCTGACACAATTACCACACGTTAGTCAATTAAGATTTAGTTCATTCTTCCTCATTTTCTTCTCCTCAAACTTTCCTAGGCTTCTTGGGGTTGAAAAATAGGTAAAGAAACTTTAGATTGCAGCACTTGGGTATTTATAGGGTGAAAATAGAGAAAACCCTAAAAACTAAGGGCTCGTTTGGTAACGTTTACAATTTTAGTTTTTTTAAAAAATGAAAAACAGAATTAGTTTTAGATTTTCGTTAGGAAAAAATGAAAATAGAAAACATGTTTGGTTGCTTTTACAATTGTAAAAAAATCTGAAAATAAAAACAGAAAACTCGTTTGAATAGAACACTTGAATATTTTTTTTTTGACTAGCTTGTATACATGAACATAATTCCATGATATTAAAAAGTTAAAACAACAATCCATAACTGATCATCCAATAGTTTTGAAACATACTACAAATATATCCCATGATTTTCAAATATTCCACATAAGTATCTCATACTTCATAGTTATATTAATACAAATAACACCACACTAAAGTTAGCACCACCAACAATAAAAGTCATAGTTCATAAACACCAACAACAATAATGTCTATCAATGCCCATGCAGTCTTGCCCACAATTCATTAGCAATGTCATCTCTCACACGAGCCATCTGGCGAAGTTGGTTTGGACTGATATCTACTTCAATTGG